AAGGTCAGGAAAGCCAAGAAGCAGGCCGAGGAGAGGACCCAGAAGCTCAATGAAAGAAGGAAGAGAATTAAGCTTGACCCGGAGGCCCGTGAGCAAGAGGCCAGGCCCACGGGAGCGCGGCAGGGGAGGATAGCCAGAGCACCAGGACAATGGAGCAAGAGATCAAACACCTCTGCGAAGGAAGAGGGTTCCCAGCAGCAGGAGGAACAGCAGAAGCTGCTCAAGAAACAGATCCCCCAGGACTGTGAACACAGGCTGAGAGGAAAAGCAGAAAATACTGAACACAAAGGAACCCCTAAACTAAAATGGAAGTGCCAGGAGGATGAGTCAAAAGGTTTCAACTCCAGAGACGCCCTCCTGCGGCTTTTGGAGAAGTAAGGTGAAGCTCTCCACCTGGCGTGCTCCAAGAAGGTGGGCACTGCAGTGGTGGAGTTTGCTACTGTGAAGGCCGCAGAGCTGGCTGGCCCCAATGACGTGGGCCTGCTTGAGAACCCTCCGAAGATCTCCCAGTTGGAGGGACAGCCCCAGGGTACGACGGGCCCCAGCCACCCAGGACTGTCACAGGGCTCAGTGCTGTCCGAGAGGGACTGGGAGAGCCTCGTCACAATGGCCATGCGGCAGGCAGCTGATCGTCCAGATGCAGGAGGAGGATGAGGAGGGCCCCCCAGCCCCTGCCTCTGGCCCCTCCCACCTTACAGCCCTTGTATAAAACATCACAATAAACAATTTTTTAAGAGAAAAAATGTGGGGGAAAAATGAGTCAAGGAAGCTGCTAAATTAATGTTCTTCTCAGTTCACATATTAATAAATTCTGTTCTTCGCTGTTAAAAAAAAAAGAAAACTCCCAATGCTTTAATAAGAAAGAGTCAAATTAGCTAATTATAAAATGAGCAGAGGACATGAAAAGATACTTCACCAAAGAAGACATTTAGCTGGTCAAAATACATGAAGGGATGATCAAGGTGATTAGCTATAGAGAGATGAAAATCAAAACAATGAGATATCATCTCATCCCCCAGCAAAAATAGCAATGTTCATTAAGACATCCAGCAACAAACGCTGACGAGAGTGTGCAGAGACTGGAACGAATGCTTAGACACTGCTAGTGGAACGTAAAATGGTGCAGCCACTATGGAAAGCAGTTTGGTACTTCTTCAGAAAGTACAAGGACCCAGAGTGTATGAAACATAATATGAACGAAGAATAGTGTGAAACACAACTTATCTGAACTTTGTGAGCAAACCAATATAAAACAAACAAAAAAACTGTAGACTCCATCTAACTGACATTTACAAGAATCTCTAGTGGTAAGAGTCATTAATGCCTTGACCTAGAAAAGATTTCTCACATCCTAACAAAAATTTTGAAAGAATTTATTTGGAGCTGTCTCTTGACCTTCAAAACTCATAGATCATTTACTTAGAGGTACACAAATTTGACCTTGCTGATAGGGCTGGACAGTATGAATTACAAATATAATAATTTGTCTTTGTTGCTTATCCATATGTGTCAGTTGTTTCTAACTCTTGATTAAATGGTTATTGTTTAAAATAATAAAGTTTTTTCTAATAAAAAAAAGTAAAAGGAGAGAGATCATTTGACCCAGCAATGCTACTACTAGGTATTATTTCAAAGAAATAAGAACTGCAACACAAACTAACATCTCACACCCAGGAGGTTGGCACAGGATAGAGTAGGATTTAGGGCTCTTGTACATACGGTCGCTATGAGTCGCAAGCAACTTGATGGCACATAACAACAACAACATACATATTTTAAAAACATATGTGGTATTTTTTTTCCCTTTGCTGCTGGTTGTAAAACTCAAGACAGCCTCATTTCCACTGAGTCAGACTCATCCCTGACCATCTAGTGGGTTTTCAGAGGCTATATAAATGGCACAGAGGAGACTGTCCATCTTTCTCCTAACAAGCAGCTGGTAAATTTGAGCTGTTTGACTATGGGGTTGGCAACCTAACTCCTTAACCACTAGTCCACAAGAGCTCCCTATAAGCATCAGACGTGACTTTCGTGACTAAGCTATGCCTATGTAAATGCATCTACCATGCAGCTTTTGGCAGTTTAACTTTACACAGGTGTAAAACTTAGGGACAGCAATTACACTAATCAGCTGTGCAAATCTACCTATAATTAATGCAATGTTCCCATCACTGTTGACAGCTCTTTCCCCATCCCTCAAAACTAACAAACTTTGGTCTTTATATCTGCTTTTTCTTGACCTTCTATGTAAGTGAAGTCCTTCTGTGACTGACTTTTTTATTCAATCATCTTTACATGTTACATTTTATACATAGTAGCTAGGTATCTTCTAACCACTTTAGTACATCATGTTAATAATAAAAGCCAAGTCAGATGGCTAAACCTTTCATTTTTAATATCCTCTGGACAAAGCAAGCTAGAAAGTCAACCACTTTTACACAGACTCAAGAGTAGTGTTCCAAAATAAAGTAATTAGGACGCTGCTACACTTTAAAGCAGGGGAGGAAAACCAAGTTTCATTTTAGTGTTCCAGAAAAAGACATTTTCAATTAACAGCAACAATGACATCATAAAAAGATACTCTGCCTTTTGAATTTCTGAACATCAGTACAAATTAAAATAGTACTGGAAAGGAGCTTGGTGGCCTACTGGCAAGAAGCTGAGCTGCAATTACAAAGGCATGTAGTTCGAATCCACCAGATGCTCTGCTAGAGAAAGAGGGGCAATCTCCTCTTGTACCTGTTGGATCCAATTTGACAGTTCACAACAAGGGAAAAAAAGTATTGGAATCTTTTAAGGAAGCAAATCACTACATTCTTCAGTGTAACTGTGCTTCCTGATAGATAACCAGGTCCCAGCTGGCTCTGACAAAACCGAGGACCTGCATAAGGGTTAGACCCACTTAGAGGAGGGGTCATGGTACTTCCAGGAGGTGGAGTAATACCTGATCTTGGTTGATTTACTGCAGGTTGATCTGAAGCCCTTCCAGTTTGTGAGGCAGGGACCACAGTATAATTTAGCAGGCTGAGAAGTTTGGGGAGCATACATTTATGGAGGATAATTGCTCACCAGGTATGGTTATAGAGGTTGAATAGGCAGTGGTTGAGGCTGGCCAGAAAAAGGCGGGGGCCTGAGAAGTTGGTTGCTGGCCATATCCCTGGACCTGCTGAGGTTGCTGCAGCCCAGTCTGCTGACGATATCTTGCTAAATACTGAACACCATTCTGCTATGGAGGCGGAGCCGGGGCAACGGCTGCTGAGCACAACAACCAGCCTGCTGCGGGCACTGCTGGTCCAGCGGACCTTCCATCTGCCCTGCGTATGTCTGCGGCTGCCGGGCACCATAACCAGCCTGCTGCGGGCACTGCTGGTCCAGCAGACCTTCAGTCTGGCCTGCTTGTGTCTGTGCTCCTGTATATGGTGGCATCTGTGTCTGAACTTCTGAGGAGTAAGCTGCTGAGGCAGAGGAAGCACTGCTGCCAGGCGTTCCTGAAGGGTCTTCTGCAGGAGCACTGCGTGGCCTTGTAACTTGATCATCTATCTGTTAAGCCACATGCCAACAGGACATTTTAATATATTTCATCTTGGTTTTTTTAAGGGATCAAAAGCTCACATACTTGCTGCCAGAACTTGAGTAGACTGCTTTCCAGAAGAATCAGAAGCAGAAGGCTTTTCCTCCCCACCACCCACAGTATCATTTTCCAGAACATTGGCAGCAGGTCCTTGTTTTCCTAGTGCTTCCAAGCAATCCAAGAAGCGATTCACTTTATTTTGAAGTTCTATCAGTTCTCGACAGAGATATTTCACCTGATTTGATTCAAGGGACCCTGGCTGATTGACAAATAGTGTAAGTTTCAATATCCTACTGCATTGAATTGCAAAAAGAAATGTCAGAACTATCAAAAATTGTTATAACAGCGCCATTTTCATCTTTATACTTTATTGTAACTTCATCATTACTCAGAAGTTTTCCTCAGAAAACTCACTGCATCACTGGCACCAATTAATCATAAGTAATATCTTCATTATAAAGATTCAATTCAGCAATTCACCGGACAGTCTCCCCAAGTTGAGCTTTGATAATCAGCTTCCCACTTAAGTCCAACTGTCCATTCATGGTGGACACCAGGATGATCTGTATGTACAACTCTAGCGGAAGAGGCTTGCCGAGGCTGCTGCAACTGCCACCACCTCCCTGGTCTCCTCAGTCAGGACTGGTGCAAGATCACCTTTGAGCGTTGGGGAGTAAGAGGGAGGCTGTGGTCAGGACCTGTTTCGCTGCCCTTGGCAGCAGCCGCCTCACTTGACCGCCTAGCATGAGCTCAGTATATGGCAGGTGGGGAAAGCAGGTGTTTCATGTTCTATGCATATTACGGCATGTGGTTTCATTTCTTCTGACTGACTAGTGTTCAACCGCACTGATGTACCACATTCAGTTTACCCGTTCATCTGTTAATGGGCCTTCAGGTGCTTCCCATCTTTTGGCTCCTACTGTGATTTTACATTACACTTCATATTCTATATTTTGCTTTACTATAATTGGTGGTAAATTTCTTATTAGTAAACAACACAGAAGAACTATGTAAAAAGAGCAATTTTTCTCTCTAAACAGTAATAGTAATAGATTATAATTCACAAACACAGTAACAAAATTATACAAGTTTAATGCTCACAGATTTTTAATCTGGTGTGAAATATTTAACAACCAGAGTTTCCACTTGCTCCTACAAGTCTTGAGACAAAGGGGCACAGACAAGCTTACGGTCACAGGCACATTCAAACTGTAACACCGAGAGGTAAGAAAACACCACAGGGTCCAGAAACAACCAGCTACTCTCGCTGAGGCTAATCTACTGAATTATTCTTTTCTTCAACTGCAAAAAAAGATTTTAACCTAAGCTCCCAAACAATTCTATCATGTTGTCTTTAAATTTTTACTTGTCAGCAAAATTACTTTAATAACACCAGAAACAAAACAGAGAGTGGGAATTTTGAACATACCAGGTAATATTCTTCCAACAAGAGCATCCAATAGCCAAAAAGATTCTTCTTCATTCTTTGTTATAAGGATCAGGTAACCAGCTATAAAATTCATTCCCTGAAATTAGAAAAGGGGAGATATACAAATTTACACTGAATTTTAATACCTTGATTCTGTCATGATTTGGCTGACTCTTAAGTTTTAATTTCTTTGCTCAACCCTTGAAATTGGAATATCCTAGACTTATATTTTCAGTAGATCTTCAGAGATATTAACACATAAAACATGCTTGGTTTCTAAAAAATTTAATCTGATACACACTAACAATATTAAAATAATCAACAGAAGGTAAGTTATACAACAACTACTACCAGATATAATAAACACAATGAAAAACTTGATCTGACACCTGGAATCAACAAGTCAACTTTATAATGGAGACTATTTTGGAAAATTCTTGGCACATATTTGCCAGGGTGCAGGAGCTACCAGGAAGCACTGAAGAATACAAAATTCTTAACTGACAGAAGCAACGCAATAAACAAAAAGACCCAAACCCATTGTCATTGCCATTGCCAATTCTAACTCACAGAGTCCCTACTGGACAGAGCAGAACTGTCCATGGGGCCTCTAGGGCAGCAAATGTGTAAGACACCTGCCAGCTTCGTCTTTCTCCCACAGAGAAGCTGGTAGGTTCAAACCACTGGCCTTCTAGTCAGCAGCTGAGTTCTTTAGCTATTCCACCATTATACTTTTTGGAGAAGGAGTTGGGCCTGGGGGAAAAAAGCAATTAGGATTTCAAATGACTTTTATTTTCTTCTTGCTTATCTGCATTCACACACAAGGAAGATCATTTTCTAAAATAAGTATTTCTCTAGTAACAAGGGAAATAAAAAAACTTCAGCTTTTATAAACCAACTAGATGGATAACATGATATAAACTTTAGAAGAAAAATCTGCACAAAATAAAACTTTGGATGGTGCTGGCAATAGTGTAAATTATTCTACTCTGGAAATCAATGTGATAATGTACATAATGCATACACACATAAAAATATATACATACACATGCACACACATATATATACACACATGCACACAGAGCTTTTCATAAGCTCTGACCCTATGATTCCACTTAAAAAACAGACTCTAAGAATGTGACTCAGAAAACAAAAGCAATCTGTACATAAACAACCATGTTACTGCTCCCAGTGAAGGCAAAACAGATCTCCACAATTGACAACAGACGCTAATGAGCAAATGATGCTGCCAGAGACTGGGAGAAAGCAGGCGTATCGCTATCACTAATAATTAGACGTGGATTATGCTGAACCGTGGAAAGGCATGTGTACAGTCACCTTGAGCATGACAAGCAGGACACAAGGCAGCTCGTACATTACAATTCCATATATGTATCTGTATGTACACGACACACATGTATTTACACATACATATGTGAACAAAGACCAACAGAGCTCTTGGAATTGTGCTAATATTAAAGAACTGTGTGAGTGCCCGGCTACCACTGATGGCCATTCTGAAAGAGATCACAGGAAAAACTTCTAGATAGAGCAGGGAGAAATATGAAACAAAACTCAAAAGCAGAAACAAGGCCAGGCTTACCGTCCAGTAGAGACAATGGAACCCCTGAGCATCTATCTGGTCCTTAGTCACTTTTTGAATCCAGAATAAAATTCAACTCTGTGGGTCAACTTTCAGCCATACAATTGTTGATGTTGTTGTTAGGTGCCATTGAGTCGAGTATGCCTCACAGTGACCCTATGAACAAAATATCTGAACCCTGTTCTACCCTGTGCTATCCTCATACTCCCTGATACTCAACAAACAAACTACAGGCAGACCTATAAGGTGACTAATAACACAAAGAGGCACTCACTTTTTACACTAACTAACCATAGATGCTCAAAAGAGTGGCATTTGCCTTTATAAAAGCTGAGCTTTTTAGTTTCCTTTATTACTAGAGCAACATAGTTGTTTTAGAAAATATAGAAAAAACAAGAAAAAAGAATAAAAGTCACTTACAAAGGATAAATCCTAGAAGCAAGAAGAGACAGGACAGAAAGATTAATGGGAACGAAATTTACAAGGAGGAAAGGGGGAAAGTGCAATTACATTTTAGTTACTCTAATTAATAGCATAAAACAAAGTATGTTTGAATATTTGAATGCAAAACCAATTCCATTTGTAAGCTTTCACTCAAATTACAAAGAAAAAAAGGAGAAGTTGTGTAGGTTAAAAGGGAAAATATTTTACTGTTGAATTGGCAAATGTTGTGTTACATATATTTTTACAATAGTTTTAAAGTTATTTTAAAAATTCAAAAGAATAATAAGTGAAAAAATGGAAACATAATTTCTAGGTCCTTTTGCCCTTCCAATTCCTATCCTTCATTAATCCAATTCATTAACTTCCTCAGTCTTTATATCTAACGACAAAACAGTTTTGGCTTTAAATATTGCCATTAAGGAAAGCAGTAAAACATCCATTTAATGGATCCATCCTTATTCCTAAGGCAGTTTGGGATCAAGTTGTGTTTCTAACATAAAGGCTGGGAGTCTCTGGTGCTTCAAATCCACAGTGGCTTCTTGGGAGGAAGAAGGGCTATCTCCTCCTATTGGGATTTACAGTCTGAGAAACCCAAGGAAGGGCCATCAATTAACAGTTTCCCCTCATTCTTGAACAGGGAATAAGTTTTCCTAATTCCTGAAGCAGTGAGTTTTCCCTTATTCCTGAACATACATTAGGAGTAGTAAGAAGAGCTGAGAATAAGAGCGAAGAATGAACCCAACTTTAGCTTCATCTTTCTACAGATACCGCCTACATGTAATAGTATATTGTAAAAAAAAACCCAGTCTGCTCTGAATTAATTATTTAGGGACAATGATGAGTAGTCTCTATTACACTTTTTTGCTGCTGATCTTTTCAAAATGATTCGTTTCACTCCTTGCCTGCATTATCCCTCCATTTATCACTGTAATCCACTTCTTTGGCTTGTACCAAAGAGCAATGACAAGTACTATTCTACCAGGAAGGCAAGTTGCCTAAGCAACCTAAATTCTGCACAAAGGTTTATGCAAATTTTATTGAATGAATCAAGCACTCTCAGCTCTCTAGTCTTAAAAAGAAGTCTCTGGGTCATCATCCACATATAAATGTTAGATTGAAACTAAATGCCATTACGGATTAACTTCGTGCCCTCTCCTCTTATGAAATATCATACAGGCTGCTGTTTCTAAGAGCACATGGATGATGTGGCTTCAAAAGCAGAAAAAGCTACTTCTCGATTCTCCTGGCAGTTGTGAGCTTCATATCCACAGCCATGGAGACAGGTTATCATCTGTTTCTTCCATTGTGGATGAAAGGCAGACAGCATGCTCAAAAAAAAAAATAAATAAAATCATTCAGAGAGGCAACTGCTCTGCAGCTCAGGGCCCTGCCAGGACTCTGCAAAGCCTGCTGGTCAGTCTATGAAAATTGGCCACCCCCTGCTCACAGGTGGTCCCCTCTGCTCTCCAGCAGGCACAGACAATCAAGCAACAGCAGAAAACGGAAACGTTAAATGATTAATGCACAGGCACCTATAAAGAGAGCATCTGTGGTTTCTGATGTTCCTAGTTAGAGGTTCTTCTCGATGTAGTTAAAGTATCCCTTTCAATGCTCCCAAACTGGGACCATCTCACAAACTATGAGTTTTCCCCTTCTTTCACATGCTAATTCACACAAATACAGAACAAGACTGAATTAAATTAGTAGGCAACAAAACACACTGCACTCATTATCTTTAAATTAGAGAAAGATTTCATTTCCAGAATATACTCTCAAAGGATTAGTTCACCCCAGTGTATATACCGTGTGCATGCGCGCGCGCGCGCGCACACACACACACACACACCCCTACCTCTACCTCATTAAGGTAATTCAGACTCTGATTACTTTTGTATTCAAATAAATACTGTATTCACTTAATTTACTTTCTGCTTCATAACTTTCCACCTTCACCTGATCTCACTGCCTGTAACCTTGACATCAAGAAGCTGACCATAATAGACAGATTCTGGTGGCTGAGTGGTAAGGAGTTGTGCTGTCAACCCAAAGGCAAGCAGTGTGAATCCATCAGCCACTGGGCAGGAGAAAGATGGACAATCTCCTCCTCTGTGACTTACTTCCTCTGAAAACCTGCTGGCAGGTCAGCTATGAGTTGGTTCCAACTCAATGGTACATAACATCAACATTTCTCATGGGAAAAGTCAAAATCACGGTCTTTTTAAAGGCAGCATGACTTACGGAGCTTATAAATTGGATGAATAAGAATGTTTAACTTACACTTAGAGAATAACACTGTTGTAAATTTGAATGGTAACCACTATTTTCACCTTTCCATATACTGCATGTGACTGTTGTTGGTTCCTAGCATGCTTACCTGGCAGTACCCCACACGTTGGTTATGATGCCCGTATGCCAAAAGCACGTTGTACAAGGTTTTTTGTAAACAGGGATCTGCTGTTTTTTTGAATTTTACATTGTCAGGAAAGGTTCTGTTCATATCTATAGAGGAAAAATGCAAAGAAAGAATTATTGGAAGGACAATAATAGTAGACCGACCAAGGGAGTTCCCATGGGCTAGTAGTAAGGAGTTGTGTCATATCCACTGGTTTTTCTGCAAGATAATGGGCAGTCTTCTCCTGAGTGAGCCTCTTAAAATCCTCTGGAGGGTAAGCTATAAGTTGGTTCTGACATGACAGCACATAAAAACAATTAATGTTTACTCAAAATCATTCTTGACTATGTATCCCTAATAGAGATCTACAGATCTGACCTCTAAGTGCTGGGATTCCACTTAGCATTTAAGAAATGGTTTTCTGGCAGCACAGAGAGAGCCGAGCACAGAGAAAGCCAAGTAAGACAGATGGAATTTAAGTGAGAACTATTATTAAAATAATTAGTTTTGAAGCCTTGGCAGGAAGCAATGAGCCTCAGTGGGGAGCAGCATGCCTCAGCAGAGAGCAGCATGCCTCAGTGGGGAGCAGCAAGTCACAGAGGGATTCACTGTCCCCCACCCCCCAGGAGCAAGTAGGAGAGAGGAAATTTGAGTGAGGTACTTAGGGAGGATCTCTGCTGATTGCTGGCCAATTGTGGGACGCCTTCACCTTAAGCAGGAGGGAGTGAGATATCTGGAGTTCGACTAGAGTGGCAGACATAGTTCTCAAGTGGAAAACTAAGGCTTCCTGGTTTTATTCCATTCAGGTACCCCCACACAGACACTCTCCCCCATGTAGGTATGCCTGCATGTCTCCCCCCAACACCTGCATGCATCTGCATGTGTGCCCACCCTACATGCATCCACGTGGGCACCTACCCAACGTACATCTACGCACATGCGTGCAACCTTCTTTGGATCAGTGACATCAAATGAAGAACCAGCTATTGCCTCAGGCACAAAAAACTCTACCACAGCAATGTCAAGAAAGAAGCAGGCTACCTCACTTCCTACACAAGCCTAAAGCAAGATAACACCCTAAAAAAAATGATACCATATCAATGGATTTCCTGAAGCCAGAAAGTCTGATGGAACTTTCTGACACAGAATTTAAAAGAATAATGACTGAATATTTTCAATGGGTGAAAGGCAAACTTGAAGAATTACAGGACACTGCAAGCAAAACCCATAAAGAGCTTAAAAAAAATCCAAGAGATAAAACAAAAGAGGCACTAGAGGCACTGGAAAAATAAGAAACCATGATCCAAAATATGAGGTCCAATGTTGCAGATCCTGTCAACATGATGGAGGGATACATGAACAGAGTTGAAGAGATGGAACACAGAACCAGTGAAATAGAAGACAGAATGGTCACCACTGATGTGCTAAAGCAAAAAGCAGAAACAAAAAGGAAGAAAAAAGAAGAAAATCTAAGAATAATGTGGGACATCATCAAGAGAAATAATATGCACATCATCGGAATCCCAGAACAGAATTAAAGAAGCAATTAAAGGTACCCCAAAAGTTGTGGAAGAATTAGTAGAAGAAAACCTCCCAGGCATAATGAAGAACAAAAGAATATATATTCAAGAAGCTGAGAGAACACCATACAGAATAGATCTCAAAAGAAAAATACTAAGGCATATCATAGACAAATTAGGCAGAACCAAAGATAAGGAGAGAATTCTGAAAGCAACAAGGGAGAAACAAAGGGTAACCTATAAGGGAGAGCAGAGTAAGTGCCAATTTCTCAGCAGAAACCACGCAAGCAAAAAACAGTGAGATGACATATATGATCACTCAAAGAACACAACTGTCAACCAAGAATACTGTACCCAGAAAAACTGTCCATTAAGTATGAAGGAGAGATCAAGATATACCCAGAAAAACACAACCCAAGGGAGTTTGTAAAAACAAGACCAGTGTTGCAGGATACACTGAGAGACGTCCTTCTTACAGAGGTGCCATAAAAAGCATGATGGACCAAAGTAACTAGCAACAAGGTCAAAAAGAACTCAACAAAATGACAGCAATAAACCTTGCCTCTCAATAAGCACACTGAATATGAATGGTTTAAATGCACCACTGAAGAGAAAAAGAGTAGCAGATTGGATAAAAAAACCAAAATCCATCAAAATGATGTCTACAAAAGACACATGTAACAAATGAAGATAAAGACTGAAAATAAAAGGGTGGGGAAAAAATATACCAAGCAAATGGCAACTAGAAAAAAGCAGGAGTAGCAATATTAATCTCTTATAAAATAAATTTTAATGCAAAACCCATCACAAAGGACAAGGAATGTCACTATATAATGCTTAAAGGGTCAAGAGAACAAGAGGACATATTAATTATAAATATCTATGCACCAAATGAAAGACTTGCAAAATAAATAAAACAAACATTAACAAAACTAAAAAAGGAAATAGACAACACTACTTGGAGTAGTACTTGGAGACTTCAATACACTAATCTCAGGAAAAGATAGAACTACCATAAAGAAGCTCAACAAAGATGCTGAAGAATTAAACCATATAATCAACCAACTTGATCTCATAAATATTTATAGGCTAAGGCATCCACACACCCCCAAAGCACAGTACACCTTCTTCTCCAAAGTGCATGGAACATTCTCGAGAAAAGATCACATTTTAGGCCACAAGATGTTGTTGTTGTTGTCATGTGCCATCGAGTCGCTTGCGACTCATAGCAACCCTATGTACAACAGCCCTAAACTCCGCTCTGTCCTGTGCCAATCGCACTGTCTCTGACACTCCCATCCCAATTATCCCAG